AATCTGACAAATAGCACAGCCACTTACCTGCCGTGAGAATTCGATATCTGCGACGAATGTAGTGACGTCTGGTGGTAGATTGCCCACTGGCACTTGTCCATACCGTGCGTGTTCGATCTGCGTATCGAGCCATTCCTCCTGCGGGTGAATATGAGGAACATGGGTGTGTCTATATAATTAGGAACATGGGCATGTCTCTATAATTGTGTATCCTTATCTCTAGCTACCAGTCACCTCTTAACAACAAGCTATATTATTTTACAACACAACACTGTGTTTAGAGGACTCAAGAGACAGCCTACTCATCACTAAAACTCTTTACTATCTTCATACTGGCTGGGAGGATGAAGAATTAAACCAGGTGGTTAAGAATATTCTTCACGCCCACTATAGGTGCATGGGGGTTTGGATGGTAACTAAATGCTACGTAGTAAACAGCCCAACCATAACAGTTGAGAGTTTTAGGGTTAGGGTTTTAGGGTTTTAGGGTTTTAGGGGTTTAAAAAAATTATAACAGTTGAGAGTGTGTGGCAACAGACACACAACTGTACACAGTGGTATTGCCAACAAGCAAACCAACACACACACGCAATGCACACTTCCGTACGCGGATGTGCATGCATAGAGACAGATACCCGCCTTCACAGAGACAGATACCTACCTTGAAGACACTCGTGATGAACATTTGCTTGACGGCCGCTTCTTGCCACTGTAGCGCGGGGTAGTTATTGTGCAGGTGGTTGTGATTGATGTTCACTGAACAGCGAAAACGGGATAAAACGGGACAAAGCGAGACGAATTGTTAGGTTCAGCAAGGGGTAGTTGATAGGTAGGTGGTTGGATCGGATGTTCAATGAAAAACGTATACGGGATAAAACGGGACAAAGCAGGATAGGTAGTTAGGTTTAGCACAGGGGAAAACATAAAACGCATACGCTATACCTGCACACCCGAACAACATACACAGTAGTTGTAGGTGAGTGTATTTGAGGTCAGCCTGCTTACTCGTGGTTGTCTACACCACCAGCATAGATATACACATAACATAGGTACACACATATATATGACATACGGACTTACAAACATATGGCATATGTAGTGTACAAATATAAAGCACTGAAGAGTATTACTTTGGCGTTTGAATGCACGCAGTTCACCAGTTTGGTCGTGTGCTGGAGCGGACGGGTCACTCCCACTTATGAATGAAAAACTGTAAAGGTGTGTTGTCTACACCAATCACTACGTACGAGGTCACACAGACGCACCTATTCCCATTATCCCGTACAGCACACATGTACACATATATATAAATATATATACCCACACACACACTTTTACACGCACACACACACACGTACACGTACACACACACACCCAGATACACGTAGATACACGCACACTCCTGCACACACACACAAACACACACCTACACGCACACACACACACACACACACACACGAATGTTAACATACAGCATGGGTAGTCGTTAAACGCAGGCACGCTCTGAGCTAGTTTGGTGACGGGTGTGGCTGTCTGCGCCACCAGCAATGTGGGTCGCTGGTCACCGTTCTCACGCACTTCCAGCACATGGTCAGTCACAGCCTTCTGCAAGGCCGTGTATAGCTGACGTTCTAAGGGGTGGGAGGTGTAGGTAGGCGCAATGTTAAAAGTACATGGCGGATGTACTTCTTGGGGGTGGGTAGTATAGGTAGGCAAAAGAATTCTCGCGGCTGCTATAGAGAACTATGCATGAATCACCAAGCACTGCTTTAGCTCAGTACCAAACAGAACGCTATGACTACCGCTAATGCCTACCTGGGAGGACATGGTGAACCTCAAACTTGTACTCCTGCGGCACCAAGTGTTCGAATCTGATTGGATCTCCCATGATGTCCGTCTGTGCGGCAGCCCATTGGCGCAGCCAATTCTCTCTATCCGACCGATTGGTTTCGTACAGTCGTCTGGAGGGTACGGAATAAGACAGGGTTATTATGACACGTGAGAAAATAAGACAACGGCAGCAAGAGGTTTGGGATTTTGAATTGCCTGAGCAGTTGGTTTCGTATCATCGTTTGGAAGGTAAGGAATAAGACTGGGTTAATATCACATGTGAGAAATAAGGCAGCAGTAGCAAGAAGTATGGGATTTTGAATTGCCTGAGCAGTTGGTTTCGTATCATAGTCTGGAAGGTACCGAACAGGAGAGTGGTAGTGGTGAGATGTGTGAGGCAACTAGCAACACTTTGAAACTCGCTACGAGAGGGCCTGTGGTGCCTGCCGCCGGATAGTCTCTGCCGATCATTTGACGAGTACGACATACATAGCCAAACAGAGTGATGCATAAGCTATTAAACATAGTGATGCGTAAGCTATTCAACATAGAGTGATGCATAAGCTATTCCACATAGAGTGATGTATAAGTTATTCAACATAGAGTAGTACATAAGCCATTGAGCTTAACACAATGAACACCCGGACATATCACATTAGTCATCTGTATATCACATGAGCCATCTGTATATCACATGAGTCATCTGTGTATCACACGTACGTGAGATGCAACCAAGCAGCCAACAAGCAAGCGTAGACAGACACACCCACAGCACACACCACCCACACAACACACCTGACATTGCCCAGTTGATTGTTAATAACTGTGTCCACCACCAATATCGTCGCCTTCTTAGTGGCCGAGAAGAATAGTCCGTATATAGCGCGTCGGTCATTGGCGGCTTGTCCCGCGCTGTGATATAAATAGATATAGTCGAACGAATTTCTCGGTAGGTAGGAGCGTTGTACTATATTGCGGTCACGCTTCACATCCAGATCCTTGAGCTCGAAGTCGATGTCTGTATTGGAGTGCTGTGTAGGTACAAGGCAATAGCTCGATGCTGAGTAGGTACAAGGCAATAGCTCAATGCTGAATAGGTACATATGGGTGTACGACGAATGGTACATATATACATAGTTGTATACATACATACATACGTATATACATACATACAGACAAGATGATAGTGCCATTGCAGAGGTATAGCTAAGTGTTGCTGTGCATTCGTACACGACTTAAATCGCTATAACTACATTAATAACACAACGCTATAACTATACTGAACACAACGCTATAATTATACTGCATAACACAACGTTATAACTATACTGAATAACACAACGCTATAATTATACTGAATAACACAACGCTATACTTATACTGAATAACACAACGCTATAATTATACTGAATAACACAACGTTATAACTATACTGAATAAGACAACGCTATAACTATACTGAATAACACAACGCTACAACTATACTGAATAACACAACGCTATAACTATACTGAATAAAACAACAGAGCTCGTAACCACACAGACACGCACACTGCACGCGATGTGCATGCACAAACACAGCCATTCACTCAAACGATTGATACATACACGTGTACTATTTCATTACCCACACACCCTACTTTCTCCACATACATGTATTATTTTAGTACCTACACACCCTACTATCTCCACATACATGTATTACTTCTGTACCCACGCCTCTTACCCTGTATTCACACACATGGTGTCTGTACTCCGTCTGTACTCCCACACCTTGCTATCTCCATATGAATTACTTCTTATGTCCTACACACCTTGCTATCTGCGGCCAGTTGTACGATACATCCCAGCTGCACCAGTGCGCGATAGTCAAGCGGCACTTTGGTCTCATACACGCCTTCCACATCGGGATGACTCATCAGCTCAGCCAACATCTTGACATCATGGAACATGCGCTGGTACCGTGCTTCACTCTGCCTGAACTCGTATAGATACAGACATGGAGACCCACGCGGCAGCTTCAGATTCACCCGCGGCCATTTCTGAGTGCGTGTGTGGGTGTGGGTGCAGGCGGGTGGGTGTGTGGCAAGGCAGGGCAGTGATGAGTTGTACGGAGATACTGGTGTGTATGTTAGGCATGATAGTATGGTGTGGGTGTGTATGTTAGGCATAATAGTATGGTGTGGGTGTGTATGTTAGGCATGATAGTATGGTGTGGGCGTGACTAGAATATGTATACATATAACACACTGCAGAAAGACACGAGTAGTGCAGGTATATTTAGTGTTGTATGTCGTCAATACGTTTGTATTGGGAAAGGTTGAAGGTTTCGCATATCAAACTACATATACTTTGGTTCACATGGGTGTACCAAGGCAAAAGGTTAGTACATATGCTCAATACACTCCCCCGTTTATTCACACACACACACACACACACACACACACAAACACCTGCATGCACTGGTTGTGTATCGCACACTCACCCACACACCTCCGAGTTACCCTCAGTGTGTGTGCTGACAAACAACAGACAAAACACTCATAGCGCGAACGAGATCATCTGTCTATGCACGAGTAGGTATATATGTACCGAACTGCCCAACGAAGCCATGGGGTACCCCCCCCTACCCCCCCCACACACCCAGCGTTGAAGATTCATACGCACAACCCGGCCCATGCATGCATGCATGCAGAAGTACCTCACCAAGCACCACCACACACACCCCACACACCCCACACACACCTCAAAGTTATCCTCAGTACGTGTGTTGACGTAGAACACCCGCGGCACCGTCAGCGTAAACGAGCGCATCTGTCCATGCACAATGACCCACATCTTAAACACTCCCGGCTGCTCAGCAATCTGCTCCAACTGCAGCACGTGCCAATGGGCATTCTTCAGCGACCGCACACGCGTCGCACGGAAAGGATCACCACCGGCTGTATGAGAGTGTGGCAATGCAATTTGAGTGTTAATAGGTATGTATATGTATATATATGAATA